ATTTCTGTAGGAAATTGTAAATAACTCTCAGTCTTAACCACTAATTAATAGAAACAAATTATATCTTTATACTATGCGACACATTTCATTCAACTTATTTTAGAGAAAATGTGTAAAGAACAAATTCAGAAAGTATGGCAAAACAATTGAAAACACTAGATAAAAAAGCCCCAGGATGGTGTCTTGAGTATTTTTTTTTTTTTAACAAATGTTATTTACAGGAACAAAGCGCATAAAGGAACACCATTGCACCACTCTGTGTTGAATGATAAATAATAAATAAATTTATAAGAAAAAAAAGAATACAGAAAAGAAATAAAGAAGAAGATTGCAAGAACAGGAGACAGGAAAACAGACAACACACAGGTGCACAGATTATCAGGTAATCTGACAGAAGAGTCTGGAAATGAAAGATGGCGGCCAGAGAGCTATATCCAGGAGATAACTGTGGAAAAGCAAGGCAAAAAAGGTGCTTTCAACACTGAGGCTGTGGCTCAGTCTGAGCTGTTTTTGAGCCTATGCAAATCAAGCAGTTATGGGGTCAGATCTTGCTAGAGATTTGGGCTGTATCACAGAGTTTCTTGTTAAGACCTTGTCCTACTTGTTTTTGAAGAAAGTAAAAGATAGTTTGAATGTTCCACCACAGGACCAGGAATATATACTTTTTGTACTGGACATGGCTTTTCTTCAAGTGGTAAGCCATGACATTGAGAGGATTTAGTACTTTTTCCACAGGTTCTTATTCCATTTGTCCAGCAAGACATATTTTCAAAATCTTTCTTCATGCCGCATTAACCGTTACTCTTAAAGATTCCACATGTCCCTATTCTGTTCCAGGGATGGCATGCGGCAGTCTGCTGGCCAGAGGTTGAAGCTATGTGTGTACTGTAGCCGTACAATTATGAACAATCTGTGCACTAACTTTAAACCGTCCTTGAATAGTAAAAACAATTATTTTCCTTCTTTGCAATTAAAAGCTAAACAGGTTTTGTAGATCCATTACATTGCTTCACATAGCTGTATCAGTACAAGGCTCGTTCCTGTAGACATGAAAATGGACTCTGTCATCAGGAGAGTGTCCTACTCCTCTTCATCCAGCTTGGGGGCAACCTTTTATAATGGCATGTGGGCATAGTTTTATGTTTTTGGAGGCTCAAAAGTCTTCTTTAGGCCTATTTTGGGTCCTATCCTGTTTAGTTTATCATTATGCAGCTTTGGAAATTGAAGTCAAAGGGTTTGGCACCATAGCAGATCTCTCAGCCTGTTGAGCACACCCATGAGGAGGTCCACCAGTTTGTCAAATGCAATTAAGTCATTATTCATCAGCCCACACTGCTGACAAACAATATTACTCTAAAGGATTTTTGCTCTGTGGTGCGTGCATAGCACAGCCCTGTGCTTGTTGTCCCAGGGCGGTGCTTTGCATGTGGCACAGTGCTCCATGTCTTTGTCCTTAACTATAGCCATGGCCATTGACTCCATCTCTGTGGACTCCCAAATAATCCTAAAACTTCCAGGAAGCCTTGTATTATGCAGTGAAATCCTTTCATTTTTGTCAGGGAAGAAATAAAGATTGAGCACGACAAACCCTGCCCAAGGCAAGGATAAGTGACACAAATCCCACCCTCACATCCCTCTCTTTATTCCTATTATCTTTACTTGACAATGGTGAAATGCTTGCAAATGTATTGTCTTGTGGGAAGGTTTTATAAGCCAACATCGAGGTTGTTCTTTAGGCCTTCAAGTAGTATATGTTGGTCCACCTAAATCTCTAGATTTTAGTGGGGCAGGAATGGTTGGGTTTCTACGACAGCTATAGCATCGGGTGGGCTAAGACCTACTTACTGTAATTTAGGAGACTCAAAAGCGCTATATGCTACAATTGGTAATTCACCCATTCTTTCGCCTAAAGGGGATTTTTAACAATGTGACAAAGTACTTTGTTTGCACATTGAAATAAAGAACATCCAGTTTTTGGCTAAGTGAGGAAAAGTGGTCTGCCTTTTGTATTTATTGACATATATCCTGCCCTCTCTTACATCCCTTAAGTAATACCAAAGGACGATTATTAGCGGGTCGACCCATGGTTGAAAAACCCAGGTTAATGTTGTATTTTCAGTGAAAAAGAGGCTTAAGTAAGGCTAAACTTATGGCATGTGTTGTTGCCTGACAACACCGTGAAAGTTACTTCCATGTACAACAGTGGTTGTCAACACAAAGTCCAGGTATGAAACTTTCTTTTTCATGGAGTTACATCCCTTGCCGATTTAGCCAGTGTATGGCTTGTGTCCCAGAATCTCCTAAAATGCTGGCATACGCTGAACTTCCTGTTTTTTTCCCCCAATTTTGGGCGTATTAATGGAATATTCATAATGAGTCCAGAGTGTACGTCCAATGACAGCCTTATTTATGCATAATGCAGCGTAATGCCCATGAAATGATGCACAAGCCAATGTCCTGAGGGGAGTAGCAATGCGCCTGGAGGCGCCTGGCCCCCATAAAAAGATGTCTTTGATTGTGATATTAAACAGCCAAAAAAAAAAGAAGAAATAAAAAGAAATAGAGAGTTTGCAGTTGCAGCAGGTTTAGCGTGCAACCCCCTTTTATACCAAAACGCTGCCAATATGCCATTATATGGTAGCTGTACATTAGAAACATGTTCAGTGGTGGTCTGGAACACATCAAATATGGTGATATACGTTGGATGTAAGTTCTTGATAAGTTACGCATAAGTTATGCACATAGTACTCATAGGTTTTGGATAAGCTAGATGCCAAAACTTATGAGTAACTCACACTTAACGTATATCGATTAGGTAACTTACTTGTAACTTATGGCCCATGAGCATAAGTTATGAGAATAAGCTGGCATATGTTGAGAAATTTTGAGCATGCTCAAAGTGTGCCAGTGGGTTTCAGCATACTCATAACTTATACAAAACATACCCATAACTTATCCAACCTATGCCAGCATTTTTCGTATGTGAGGCATACGCTGTCTAAATCGTTAAGGTGTGACAGGGCCTTTAACTCTTCAAAGTTTGGACAATGTTGAGGAGGCAGCTAGCCATCCATCTATCCATTTCCATCTCACTTTATCCCAGCTGGGGTCACATGGGTGCTGGTGCCTATCTCCAGCTGTCTACGGGCGATGGCCGAGCTACACCCTGGACAGGATGCCAGTTCATCGCAAGGCAACACAGAGACAAACAGGACAAAAAAGCATTCATGCACACATAAGGAGAATTTATGGAAGTTGTGGGAGGAAGCCAGAGTACCCAGAGAGAACCCACGCATGCACCAGGAGAACATGCAAACTCCATGCATAAAGACCCTGCACCTACAATCGAACCCAGAACCCTTTTGCTGCAATTTAGCAGTGCTACACACTGTTCCACTGAGCAGCCCAGGAGGCAGCCAGATAAGAGTAATTATTTCTTGTGTGCTGTGCTTATCATTTTAAAGGGACAACCATGTGGAACTCTGTTATGTAAGACTTAAAATATTATAAAAATATCCAGATGAAATGCCCCCTTTAACCTCAATTATATTGCATGTATAAACAAAGGGTAAATAAAAAGAAAAGATTATCAGATTTATTAGGGTATTGGCAAGGCAGAGTTCCCTGTTGTACAATATAGACTGTATGTTAGCACATTTAAGCAAAGTTGTGCAGGTGTAAAAGAATAACATAAAATAAGATATATAAAAAATGACTCTCATGTAGACTTTGCCTTGATGTAAGATCACAATGACAAAAGAGTCAACAAAGATTGGAGAAAATATAAGGGTTAGGTGTAGTAACAGAGTTAGTGGCCATATTTCCCAGAAATACTATGCTTCATTTTTGGGATTCATAGGGGGACCAACAACCTATCCATGTGAAGAGGAATTCTCTTCTTTGGGAAGGACCTCCGATGCGCTTTGCATGCTTCAGATGATTTAATGCTCATAAAGCACTGCTCCAGCTGCTCAAAATTTGCTGTGATGCACATAGACCATAGACTTTTCATGTAAACTAGCTTCTCATGCTGCTCAAAGCATGTTCAGTGTAAACGCAGCATATGTTTGTACTTTGAGTCAAAGGGGTATTGCGTTTTGGCACCAGTCATATGTTTGGCCAAAACATAATAATACTCAAGGAAAGTAATTACTTACTGTACAAGGTATGTCCAAGATGCTGGTGAAGATTATGTGTTATAGTCATTTCAAAAAAACAAACCAGTGGACTTTCTTTTCCAAGTCTGATGACTTGCACTTCCCATCCAGAAAACTTTCTCAATTCAAAATGTCTGGAGTAGCGTTGAGTTCCAGGCTTATAGAGTAACCCAACAAAAGCCTTCGTACGGCTTAGAAAACATGCAAATCGAACCGAAAACAGGTCGCCCCCTTAATAATGTTGAGTCGTTGAGGTAGTTGTTGGCCTGCAAAACCCGAAACTGGCCCATGCCTCTGTAAATGGGAGTCATTAGGGTTGTTGTTGACCAGGCTAAACAGGCAAGATGTTTTAATCCCCTGTAATATTGTCTTCACACTGTATGGTCATTAAGACTATCACAAAAGTCCTTTAACATTTTGTTTTTATCCAAACCTTTAGCATTGTAAAGAGCTACTGCTTACTGGATCTGGAAGATATGTTAACCCAATGTTGAAACAATTTCTATGCAGGAAAGGAAATTTCAAAAGTAGCAGAATCTGCATCAATGTCATGGTGGCTACAATAAGAAAAGTTAATCAGTTAATGCTAGTGTTAGGTTTAAACACCAAACATTTTATGCAGTAACCTGTACAAAGGAAGACACAGAGAATTTTAGTATGATTTACTTGCAAGGAGAGTGATCAGAGACTGTTCAGTTACAATTCTCCAAACCACTCTGAAACAGCTCCGCTCTCACAAGCCTTTTTATTAAGGAACTCCCTAACTACAATGTTGGTTCCGACTGCTAAAAGGGAGGGGTGAAAAACCAGTCGGAACCAGAAGTCTGCA